CTGTGCGGCGCCCCCCCCCCTGCCGCCCGCCCCCCTCCCCCCCCCCCCTCCCCGCCCAATCGACTGGGGCAGTTCCCTTTTTATGTGTCCACCACGAGCGCATGGCTCTGTGATGCCCACCGCGCTGCACCAACACGTTTGCTGATTTTTGTCGGCTCTGGCCTCCCCATCCTCCTCCCCTTGCTTCGGTTGGGCATGTCCCTTCTTCTCCATCGGCCTGTGCAATGGGGCCCACTCGCCTGCACGCTCGCCACCACCATGGCGACAACCGGCCCCCTCGCCCCCTCTGTCATGCGGGTGATGGCGCCTTTTCCTTTTCTCGCCATCTTGCTCCCCCCTCCCCATCCTCTGTCTCTCTTTGTCTCTCTTTGTCTCTCTTTGTCTCTCTTTGTCTCTCTTTGTCTCTCTTTGTCTCTCTTTGTCTCTCTTTGTCTCTCTTTGTCTCTCTTTGTCTCTCTTTGTTTCTCTTTGTCTCTCCCCGTCTCTCTGTCTCCTCTCTCTCTCCTTGTCTCTCTATCTCCTCTTTCTCTCTCCTTCTCTCTCTCCCGCCCCTGCATCACACCGTGTTCCAGGGCGAGTTCATGATCACCTTCCCAGGAGCATACCATGCGGGGTTCAACCATGGTCTGAATTGTGCCGAGGCGGTGAACTTTGCCCTGCCCGGGTGGCTGGAGGCCGGGGCGTCGGCTCGGTCGTGCTCCTGCATTTCGGACTCGGTCCGCGTGGACGTCGACAAGATGAAGTCCCTGTTTGCGGACTGGACCGCGCGCGGGCTACTGCCGGGAATGCGACGGAGTGCCCCCTCCTCGGGCTCGGTGCCGGCAGCCCCGTCCCCTGTCGCCCCAATGACCCCGACTCCCGGGCCACGGAGCTCCTTCGAGCCGCTGGAATCACCGCTGGATGTGGAGTCCAGCAGTGAGGATGGCGGTGGGCATGGGAGCGCGCGATTGGCCTCCTCACCGAGCGCCGCCATGACCCCGGTGGCGACGGTAGCCCAGCTGGTCGTGGTGGATGAGCATGCTCTGTCTCTGAAGACCAGCCCGCCCTTCCGGCATCTAAAGCCCGCGGAGGTGGGGGGGCCCAGCGCGCCAGCCAAGCGCCCTCCCGCGGGTACCACCGCCGGCCGGGTGGCCAAGCGCCCTCGCGGCAATCCGTCCGCGCACGTGCCGCAAGCACAGCCGGCCGGCAATGGCACCGACCCCTCGGCCCCTGGCAAGGGCGTCCCACCTGTGGCCGGGCCCCCGGACGCCGAGGCCAAGCCGGCTCTCCCCGAGCGGCCGGCCCCTTCGCGTAAGTCCACTCGGGTGGTCCGGCGGCCGATGCCCATCGGCGGGGTGCCGCCAGGGACTGGGACATTGTCCAACTCGGCCGGGCACCGCTCCGGGGCATCGCCAGCCCCGGCACCGGGGGCCGTCGACGCCTCGGCGCCCGGGCCGGCCAGCGGTGGGCTGGCGCCCGGCAAGAGGCCGGCCGCCCTTGGCCCGAACGACCGGGGGGGGGGGACCTTGCCTCCCTCGGCGGTGGCCTCCTCTCCACCAGGCCCCCCATCGGCCGCCGGGGCACCGATCGCCCAGTGGTCTTTTTCGCGGTGATCGGGCCACATGATCAATATATATATCCGATTTTTGTTCTCCCGTTTGGCGCCATTGTCCTGGGCACGCACGGGCCCTCCCCCCGGGCGGCCGGCCGGACCCACGCACGGGCATACGCACATAGACTCCCGCGCCGGCGCACATACATACATACATACACAGATACATACACACATACATACACACATACATACATACACGCGCTTGCGCGCACACACGCACACACGCACATACACGCCCAAGCGCACACAGCGCACATTTGTGCGCCCCTCCCCGTGCAGTCGTTTGGGGGTCCTTTATCGGGGTCTGCTTTCCCGCAACCCGGTGGCCCGGCCCCCACCCGGGTGTGTAGCCATCGGTGTCCGCCTCGTCCGTCCCTCCTCCCACCTTTGATCTTGCCTCCCTGCCTCCGGTCATCGGCCGGCGTCCCCATTGCGTCGATCTTGCCATCATGAATCCCCTGAACGCCTCGTCCTCGGTGCCCGACTCTGCTCCAGGTGCTGCCCCGGTCAGCACGCCCACGCCCCTGACCGACTCGCGGCTGGATTTCTTCGACACGATGAAGAAGTTCTACCTGGTTGGCAGCGGGTCGTTGCTCATCACCTTCGGTGTGCTGATCTACGCGGCGCGCAAGAATCGCCAGAGCGCTCAGTCGATCCTGAAGAACGCCACAAACAACAGTGCGCCCTCCTCCCCACAAAGGACCACTCCCGCCGGCCACTTTCCCCGTGGCGGGGCTCCTCTCGCTTCCCCTGCTCTCCTCCTTCCTCGGCCTCCCGAGTGTAGTTGCCCCTAACAACACGCCGTTCTTCTTTCGGGCTTTGGCCTGTGCACGCTCTCATCCCCCCCTCCCCCCTGATCCCGCTCCTTGGGGCTCTTCTCCTCCGAAATAGGCTTCACCCACTCGAAGAAGGCGCCAGCCGGGCAGCGCTTTGTTGCTTCGTCTCCCAGCCAGAAGAAGTAGACCCCCCTGTCTCCTCCGAGCCCGGTGGAGGAGCCGCCGCCCACACGGTACGGCCCATTGCCCGGGAAATAGACAACAAATGACGAGCCTGTCCTGATCTGACGTCCTGCTTGGATCACATGCAGGCGTAGACATCAAGATATGTAACACACACACACACATATACACACACAATTACGGAAGCCAACCTGGAACCGGAGGGGAAGCACAACAACACCTGGGAGGCGGAGAGGGGCAGGGGGGGGGGGGGGGGTTGTTATTTGCCGGTCTGGGCCAGCGTTCACCCAGGGGCGGCGGACACGGGCAGAGGGGCGGGCATCGGTGACAGCGGCCTCGACATCAACTGAATCGGGCGGCGCTCTGCCACCGGACACAGGGGATGATGTACAGCGGAGGAAGACGTGTGCACTTAAAGGCGGAGGAACTCCGAGAGGATCTCGCACTCGACGGCGTTCTCGAAGGCATCGTAGTCCTGTTGTGCCGGGCGATGGGCGATGGGCGATGGGCGATGGGCGTGCGAGTGTGCGGGTGTGTGAGCGAGAGGGCGAGGGGGCGGATGATGGGGCGCGGGAGGGCAGATGGCGGGATCGGCGGGCACGCACACCGAGGTACTCCTCGCCCTTGAAGATCTGAGGGGGGATGGTGTTGCCACCGCTGCCACGGCGCATCTGCTTCTTGTAGTCCTCGTTGGAGGCGATGTCGCGGGTCTCGAAGGGGATCTTCTTGCTGGAGAGGATGCTCTCGATGTGGCTCTGCTTCTTCTTGATGTCGAGCGAGGCGCTGATGGAGGAAACGTAGATGATGATGGTCATGGTGGTGGACTGGGGCGGGGCCGGGGAGAGGGAAGGAGGTGCTCTACAGGGGGAGGGCGAGGGGGGGGGGGGGGGGGGGGGGCGGGGGCGGGGGCGGGGGAGGAGACGGCAGGAGGGTAAGTGCCGGGTGACGGGCGCAAGGAGGAGAGCAGCGATGGCCGCAGCAACTTGGGCATCAAAGGGCAGGAGAACGGACAGAACTGAGTGGAAGGGGAACTAGTCTGGAGGTCAGGCACGGGCGGAGGCGGCTTGGCCTCCTGGCTGAAATACTTGCCCGGGCGTTGTCTGCGGGAAGCGGTGTCTCCCTGTGCGGGATGTCGGCTCGTCGGACCGGGGGCCCATACTACCGCACCCCCTCCCCCCCCCCCCCGTGGGGAGGGACCGGAGCACATCCCTCCGCGCCCACCTCGAGCCCCGTTCGCAGAGGGACAGCATTCTTCCCGACGCTGGGATGCGGGAACAACACCGTAGGCATCAGGAGTGGCTGGACAAAGGCGTCTTCTGAACGCCCGGGCGTCCTCCCGAAGTGGGACCATATTTCCGGTGTCAAGAATGGAGTCCTGCCGGAAAACGCGAGCTGGAGATATGCGCCTCCCTCTGCACTGGCAGGGACGGAACGAGGGGGCGGCTGGGGGGGGG